CGACCCACGGCCTCGCCTCGGGCATCGCCGACCACATCCGACTCATCATCACTCGCTTCGGCGTGGGGGGCCTTCTCGTTGACGCGTGCCGAAGCCACTACTAACGTCACGGGGGGCGACACCTCAACCACTTCATCCCCACTATCTTCTTGCTCGGCAAAATCCGAGGGGAACACCACCTCACATTGCAAAGAGGGCAACCTGGACACTTCGCTCCCGTCCGATCCCTCTTTCCCCGACGACGCACCCAATGCCTCAGACGACGTCCAACTCCTAGCCGAGGAGTAACCTCTTTCCATTTAATTATAAGGATTAAAACAAGTAAACTCTTACCTTGATCGGTCAACTCGGACAAATCTTTGAGGTTGAGAGTTCTCGAGAATTTTACAGCAAGTAAATTCCCACACACCCCCTATTTATAGGCAAAGTAAATGGGGGGAGGTGAAAAGACACCCCGAAATCGCAACCGTTGGATCTTGACCATCCAATGGCCCAGATTTGATAGCCGTTGGGCTTTTAACCGCCATGGCCAGCGTGGCATAATAACCATGCCCACTGAGGCCTCGACATAGGCCTCACCCGAGGTTACAAAACGATGAACACTTAATCATCGGATCATAATCCCAAACCCCGAAATCGACGACTCTCCTTCGGCCGAGAGCATCAGTATCTAGTGATCGGCCAAAGGCAACACGCCATGAAGGGGATCGGCAAGTTTCAATACACGCCGATCACTTTTTATCGCTCCGATCCTCCGCACTGCGAGGGTTCCTTCCCAAATGTCCGACCCGACCAACCCAAGGTCTGATGGACCGTGACCACATCAAACACGACCACACGGTGGAACTAATCACTCCTAGTCCAGGACCTTGGTATCGGCTAGAGTGGTCGGCATGACATTCTCCTACACTATTTACATTCCTTGTTCCTGCCTAGCACTCACTAGAGAGCAGAAGCTACTACAACACACTTCCATGGCTGCTCTCCAAAACGTAATCCTACCTATACGTTTCCCCAAGGTTATCCTTAAATCAAAGCTTCACACCATTGTAAGGACGACCATACCTTGCACAACGCCGACCCCAGTCTCATCTCGAAAGGTCGGAGAAGCCCACCGTACCTAGCATAACACTCAGGTACCACTATCGAGGTCTGTAAAATCTACTGTGGGATTAGCAAGCACACCAGATTCTTAGAGGTCGGAAGCACCGCCTTCACGTTGTATGCCGAGAACCGAAGCCCTACATAATTAGCATGCGTGTGGTCCGACTTTAGAAATTCATGCCGCGAGTATGTATTACCGTCTTCGTCCTCCCAATCCTTGACGCTGCGGGGGTTGTATACCGGATGGTAGCCGACCAGGCCGAATACCCTATCATCCGACCCGACCGACCCAATCAAGCTCACCGAACACGCCGACCACCTTCTATCTGAGCCAAACGTGTCAGTATGCTCGGCCGAGCTACGAATTTATGCAAGGACAGTTAAAGAAGGGTTAATTTACATAATGTGTCGGATTAGTCCCTTAATTTTTCGGGGCCCAGTCCCTAATCACGGCCCAATAAGAATCACTATAAATAGGACCCCAACGAGGTACGTAACTAACTTTCAATTACCGCATTTATTACGCTGAGAACTTACTTGAGCGTTGAAGTGTCTTTACAGGCACCCCCCTCACTTTGGACTACCCGGAAAGGAACGAGAAGACCTAGACCCAAGACCCGACCCACAATAATAAAGACAAGTAAAGTGTGTATCCTAATACAGGAACAAATTTTTTATAAGTTTCTCACGCTAAATTTCAATGGAAAAGGATAGGAACTAACTATTTCAAGATGAAAATAAAATTTTAACATAGTAAAAATATTATGTTACTTTTATTTGCTTATTTATTTAATATAGTAAAAATTATTGATTTCTAAGAATTATGATTTCTAGATATGAAAAAATTTGTTGTGTACCAAAATTTAAGTGAAAGAGAGAGAATAAAAAACATATATTGATTTGATAAATTATATAATGTTATAAGAATATATATATATATATAT